ATGGACCAGCTGCAACCCCATTTATTTACAAATCATGCATACGGCGAGTATCTTTTATGGCTTCATTACTACAATACAGGTGGATTGTCTTGTAGATGGTTGCTTTTTCATTGCATTTATGGAGCAAAGTAATAAAAAGATTTGAGGTTTTGGGATCTGATCATGAATATTAATGGCAATCAGTCTAGAAAACAGCACATTCTGTACAACAGGCAAGTATTTAGCCCTCAGAAATCCACAGCAAAAAAAATAAAAAATCCCCCGAGGAGGGATTCAAAGCTATATATAGTGATGGTCATCATTAAGAAGAGCATATTCATATTGTGATAATGCTGTAAGAGGATGAACCACGGATACTGAAAGAATTCATAAAAACAAGTGCTATAATGCTCTGCATACTCTGTAAAATGATTTTCAATGCCATAGTAATGATTATTAGTATTTTAATGGAGTGTGGTTTGGATTCGATAGATGTTTTAATGTGCAGCTTTTCCATCACTGTTTATGGAAATCAACAAATGAATATGGGTCAGTGACAAATATGAGTGTGCAGGAAAAATCTAGTTTAAAACAAATGTTCTTTGAAATGAGTCTTTGTATTCATGTTGGTTTCATATGGTTTTGAAAAACACCCTGAATATGTCAGTGTACACATCTTTCACATCTCTCACATATTTTTTTTTTATTAAAAAGTTAAAAAGCTCAAATATCTTTTTTACAAATATGTTAATCATTAATTTATAAAAAATAATTACATTTTTAGAGCGTCTCACCACATGACATTTTATAACCTCAACCAGCCTTCATTTATATGACATTTTAAGGCACTTATGAAAACTCTGTGATATAATTTCCTATTTTATGGTTTGTTTTTCTTTTATTTAGCATACAAAAATCAAATATTAATAAAGCAGAGAAATTGTTTTATTTTTTTATTTTTCAAGAATTGTTGCTCTACATTGTGATATCTGGACAATTGTTATCACCCTGACATTTTTTACTTTATTTCGCCAAAATTATTCAAATTCATTTTAATTTGAAAATTAAGAACATTCTTATCATATAAGAGGTGTAATGCATAACTGTATGCATTAATTCCATTTTAATGTATTTTTAAATAAATGTATAAATCCTAAAAAAAATGATTAGATACTATTTTCGTGACATTGACGAGTTGTGCTCTCTTAACTGGCATTTTAAGCCTGTCACTCCAAATTCTGAACTCTCAGATGATAATAACTGCTCTTAGCGAGCACAATAGGAAAGCTTATAGTAGCTTTATAGTGCACTAATACATAGAGCGAGTGCAGCAGTGACAGGTGTGACGCCAATCTCTCGGCCCACGGCACTGTAATGTAATGTGGGCTTCAAATACAAGGACTTTACAATGTGGGATTGTTTTTCTGGGTTAATCCCTTCACTTTGCACCATTGACCATTAGGTCATCTGATGTAAATCTGATAACCATTAGACACTGAGACTCAATCCAGTGAGGAAGTGCAGTGGAGAATAGTGAGATTATTAAGAGCTCTGACACACACAATTCAAACACTTTATCTCAGTGTAATCCCTCTTTATATCATGACAGACTGATAATATGAACTCCATTTCTCGTCACAACACCATCAGCATCACTGTCCACAGAGACACCTCCTCCAAACAGTGGGAGAGTATGTTACTCCTCTGATTATGACTCTTTAAACCAACACAACCTACCAATCTGCCACTGTCTAAATGTTAAACAATACTGCAGTCTTCACTTTGAAAAACACAGATATAATACATTAGTTACCTAAATGATGTAATGTCAGGGACTTTAGGCTAATACTAATCCAACCCCTTAAAGAAAATTTATACATCCATACATACATGCATACATTGATATTTCTTTCTTCCTTCCTTCCTTCCTTCCTTCCTTCTTAATTAAATAAGAAATAAACAAATGTTATTTTATGTATGAATACTTTTTTTTTTTTTACAATTAATGATGCCCCGTTTTTAAATAAATATGTATTTTTTAATGAATAATTTTCACAACTAATGATGCCCCTGGATAACTCTAAAGGGACATCAGGTTTTGTTAAACATCTAAATGAGGACATGCAATTTCTGAAATACTGTAGACTTCTATTGTCACAATAAATGATGCTCATTTTTTAAAATAAAATAAAATAAAATAAACAAACAATATTTTATTTATTAATACTTTTATACAATTAATGATGACTATGTTTAAAATTGATAAACCAACAAATGAATAGATAAATAATGCTATTTTATTCATGAATACTTTTTACAATTAAGGATGCCCCTGTTTGTTTTATATATATATATATATATACAGTACCTAAACATATGTGACCCTGGAGCACAAAAGCAGTGTTAAGTCGCTGGGGTATATTTGTACCCAAAGCACATGATAAAAACATGAAAAGCAACATCCTTTCCAAAACAAGTTTAATGACACAGACATATAAAGGGCATGCAAAATACGGAGGTGTCTACTCCATTACAGCAACCCAAGGAAACCCAACAGAATGCTAAACGTGCTTCAGTCAAACTCATAAATGAGCAGATTTTCATGATTTGGTATTTACAGGCATCAGCAGAGGGTAATCATTGGTAGCGGTGTACCGCAAATCTTGGGGGCCCTGCCCACACACAGTCATTAAATACTTCCATGACATACTTTTCTCTTTATCCTGTTCTGTTCAAAACATTTTTTGTTTAGCTTTCTAGATTTAGAAAGTCTGGTAGGCAAGAGAAAGTGTTTTTTTTTTTTTTTGTATTTATATTTAATTAATAAATAAACAAGCAAGCAAATAAATGGATGTTATTTTCTTTCGATTATTGATTAATTTGTTTAATAAATAAATAGATGTTTTTTTATGAATACTTTTTACAATTAATGTTGCCCTAAAAGGACATTATCAGTTTTCATTAAATATCTAAATTAGGACATGTAATTCATTAAGTACTACAGACATCTATTGTTATATATAGGATATATATAGGATAACTAATTAATATAAATTACTATTAATCATTTGTCCCTTTAAGGACATATGGGGACGGATAGACGTGTTTTGATTTTAAATCAAGCTAATTATAATACAGATTAATCCTAAACCTACTCGTTCCCACAACCTGTATTTTTCCGGGGGGGGGGAAACACATTGTTTATTTTGTTATGCTATTATGTTTTCCATTTGAGAACGTCCCGAAAAGCGGGTTTAGTCCGATTCAGGTAACACCTGAGGATATTTTTCAGCAATTTTATCCTGAAGAATAACTAAGTTAAACATGCAGACTCACGCACACTCTTCACTCAAGAGGAGCAGCAGATCAGACGTGTTTCCTTGTCAGTTTAGCACCATTGTGGAGGGCGTGAGTCTCCAGCACTCACGCGCTCAGATTAGTGGACGCTCACGAGACTCGACTTCCAGTCTAGTCACCTAGCATTGACTGCCACCTAGTGGTTGGATAAACACAATGACATGAATCACCGCCACACCAGTTCTTGAAACATTGTAAAAAATAAAATAAAATAAAATAAATAAAATGGCTCAAGAAAGCACATCTAAAAGTTTTTTTGATGCCAAAAGTAAGTTCTAAATTACATTTCATTAAACAATCGGTCTTTATGCTTAACGACGGTCACATTCTTTAAGCATTCTAAGAGTTTTAGCATTTCTGATCTATTTGACTATTGAGTTCATGAAATGTATAGCAACACATGTAAATATTTAAACACAAAATCGAGTATCTCTTTATTGCAATTCCAGAAAAGAAAAAAAAAAAACAACCCTGAACAAGACAGCATCCAATACACTAATATTCGATTCCATTCCAAGACAGATGCAGTTCAATATGACCGGTCACACATTTCAGAAAACCAGTGAAAGAGGAAAGCCTCCATGATACCCAACTGCCCCTACTGCTCAGGCCAGAGCTATTACAATGAAGTGAAATCGCCACTGTTTTTAACAGGGAATAAAAGGGTAAAAAAAAAAAAAAATCACACTCTATAACAGGTTTTAACATGCAGAATCGGATTAAAACAATATTATCTTTTTTTTCTCAAATTCAATTATTTATGGCCTTTGTCGATGTTTTCTTAAGAAACTCTATATGAATTTAAATCCATCAAACTGTCACTGTCATTCAGGCAACAACACACGAGTACTCAAACCAAAGCTGCCACTTTAGCAATTAGTGAAAATTCATCTCTAAGGATAAAAACACAATGAAAACATGACTTATTTTCCACCTTGAGAGTTTAGAGTTTAAATCTCCTTCAAAAAGTCAAAGTCTCAAACATGGGGCAACAAACATCCCGCTAAAATGTGCTGTACACTCCTTCATCTAAACATCGGCTCATAACCACACCTCACATTAGCTCTGGAACTGGTGTTGGAAGATGTTATCTGACAGACATTATTGATATTAAATAACTTACAATATTGAAATACATACAAAAAGGTGGACAGTCAAAAAAAAATCTAAACGCCCCAAGAAAAAGACAGTTACAAGGATATAACAGAACATGCAATCCTCAACTTTTACAAAGGTTTTATCAAAAGAAAATAAATAAATTTGCTCTGTAGTCCAATGATCAGTGATATGTCTCAGATTAATTAACTCGTGCTCTCTGAAAACAAAAAACATTAATGCAGCAACTCAGAATTAAAAAGACAGGACAATGCTACCAAATACTGGTGTGAATATTAAATGCACAAATAATAAAGTATATTGGCAAAGGGCAAATGTGCACACAAGCACTGTGGGGCAAGAAAACTGGGCATTTTGAAAAATATAACAAGTATAAAAATATACATTGCATACCTCCAACTATTTGGTCATTTTCAGAAAATCTGTACAAGCAATTCATGAAATTTCAAAGATGGAGTCGAATAATGCGGTTTAATTTAAAAGGAGAAAGATTAAATACATCCTTTAAATGAATTTTCCTTTAAAAGACTGATCTGCATTGTTTGGGGTTTTTTTAAATGTAAAATACACTATAAATCCGATTGCTAAAAATGAGATTTTCTTTTTACTCTCACATTCACACCCTTAAAATTAAAGGAAAGAAAAAAACACGATGATAACACAGGAAATCAAATCCTACATTATAAACAGAAACCGTGGCACATAGTCAAAACATGGACACAAACAATAGCGGTTATTTATTCTTGAGACCATGCAGAACATCAGAAACCAGGATCTTTGTCGGTCTTTTGGAGTTCAGCAGACACAGAGGGTTGCTTTGCGGTGCTGTAGTATAGGGACGCTGGGGGTCCGTTTGGGAGTCCTGCTGGTGTTGCGTTTGGGTACGGTGCGTTCACCAGTCCTCCGGCGGGAGCTGCTCGGGGTGAGGGGGCTCCGCCTGGGCCTCTTCCCCACTGGACTTGACACATCCGGTGAGGACAGGGGAGTCTCTGGGGTCTGGTTGCCCTCGCTGGGGCACACAGTCAAGGCAGCTTTGTCTGTGAGCTCAGTGTAAGTCAGGTTTTCCTCTAACGGAGGTTCTGCGCTCAGACTCACTCCCGACAGACCGTTCCTCCTCTCCAGCGCCGGCAAAGACTCACTGCTGCCTGAGGACAGGTCTGGATCCGGGGTCTGTAAAGGGTCAAAGACATCATCATTTTCGTGCCCATTTCTGATTCTAGAATTAAAATGTTAATTATATACAAATTACAAGTGCTGGGAAGGCTATTTTGTATGCAAAGCTAGCAGTAAAAGTAGTTTTGGGTCCTTTTAAGAAAGTTGACAGCTCCACTACAAAAAAAAACTACAATAAATCTATTTACGGGGACTATTTATTTTTTATTATGCACTTTAAAATGGATGTAATTTATTATAAAAAAAATTATTATTTAGCATTTACCTGGCATAAGAACAATAGTTACTTATGTAACTACACTACTTATGTAGCGTAGGAGTTACTGAAATTATTAAAATTACTCAATAATGTTACATTGTGAAAATATTATATTCAAATATAGTGAAATATTATTGCAATTTAAAGAAATCATTCTAATATGCTAATTTGGTGCTCAAGAAACATTTCTTATTATCATCATCACAGTTAAAAATGGTTGTGCTGCTTAATATTTTTGTGGAAAGTGCGATACATTTTTTACAGGACTATTTCAGGATTCTTTAAAGAATAGTAAGTTCAAAAGAACAGCATTTATTTGCAACAGAATGTAAAAATCTTCACTGTCACCTTTGAACAATTTAATGCATCCATGCTAAATAAACATTAACTTCTTTAAAAAAAATGTAAAAAAAAAACAACTAAGACTGCACAATGTATAAGACCCTATATCAGATTTTTATGCATGCTCATTTGCCGTAATTTTACATTTAGATTAACCTTGCCATCCTCTAACGCTCATGGTTCATCTATAAAAACACTAATAATTTAATACTGTTAAATGTAATATTCAGCAGTTCTCAAAATGTATATTTATTTTCCATACTGTACATAATAATGTTGTGATTCCAAAATTCATGTTTAGCATCTGAAACTATTTATTTGTAGCTTTTGTGTTTTATTTTTAATTTATTTAGATAAAATTGTATTTCATTTTAATATCAGCCATACTAGAAAAATTATAATTTGCTTATCAGTATCAGCCAGAACTGTAATATGTAAGAATCCTTAAAAGATATAAAGTAAAAGCTACAACAAAAAAAACCCAGAGGAAGTAGCAGAAATGGAAAAGATTCAAACTGCAAACAAATGCCAACAACTCTAAAAGACAAAATACAAATAAAGCAAGTAAAAAAAAAACCCAGAGGAAGTAGCAGAAATGGAAAGATTCAAACTGCAAACAAATGCCAACAACTCTAAAAGACAAAATACAAATAAAGCAAGTCTAAAGTCTGGTCTTCATCACTACTTTACAACAGGGGAAATGCATCATGGCATTCTCTTGACCTGTTCTGTATTTTTCATTTCCCCTCTATCAAAATCATAACAGCACCAGAAGAGCAAACAGGAAAAATGATCAAAGCGGCCTCCCTAAACCTCAAATCCACTCCACTTAAAAGGATTAAAAACACAAACATCTGTCCACTCTCCAGCTCTCCAAGCCAAAGCAAAACAGCCAAGAGCAGCTGGAGGAGCCGTGCTTGAAACACGCTGGGGCCAAACAAACACGGAGACATGGCTTCCATCGGAACTGCTCTGACAATGGAGGCCTCGATCGGGAAAGGGGGAGACGCAGAAAGAGAGTGAGAGGATAAAGAGAAAAGCAGGCAGGACTGATGAGCAGCATGTCAGAGTCTCTTTTGGTGGGCATGGAGCCAAAGTGTGGCTAACATGAGCAGGAACTCTGTAAAAAGTCTTATCTGAAAGCTTCTGATTAGTTGTGAGCCTGGACAGTGTACAGAAATCTCTTGAAGTTCAAGCATATCATGAACTCCTGTTTTTGTCTGCTTGAAGTTGCTGGGTAGTGTTGTCAAAAGCAACGATACTTCAGTACCAAGTCGATATAAAAAATTGTAAAAATGTGACAATACCAGACTTTTTGCAGTATTGGTAATACTGAGTACTGACTCTGTTCGGTACCCACATATCTACACTCTTAAGAGCGTCAAAGGTTTCTATTTACAACACATTTTAACATGTTGAGATCAGAAATGTAATGGACAATCACAGGAATTCAAGTTAGTCAGACTCAACACCGCTCAAAACCAGTGCATCTCAAAACGGAGTTCTGCATGCTTGCGATTCCTATCCTTATAACCAACAAAGTGTAGACACAATGTAAATGAGAGATTCACTGTGCAGTGTAGCCAGCTTCTTTGATTATAATAAGAGATTCCGCAAGAGTGCAGAACTCAGTGAGCATGTGCTGAAATGACACGATTGACCGCTTCAGTGGTTATAACGAGAGCGCTCTTTACTCACTTTATATAATTTGAATAAATAACTGAATAAAAGTTTTGTTTTTTGTGCTGCTATGACCACATATTGCAAAAAGTGTTTCAATGTAAATGTAGAAGTGATTTTATCACTATTAATTATTGACACAGCAATAATCATAGCAATGGATGGGACAAAAAAATATATAATTTCAAAACAGATCTGTGCATTAAACAAATATGATTTTGCTGAATATATTTAATAGCTTTAATAAGCATAAAGGCACTCTTTGTTCTACTATTTGTGATGTGTTTTGGTTCTTTATTTTATTACTGACTTTTCCCTTAAAGGGTTAGTTCACCCAAAAATTAAAATTAGGCTGTGTTTTACTCACCCCCGAGGCATCCTAGGTGTATATGACTCTCTAGCTTGCGCTCACTGTTGTAAACGGAAGCAGCTTCGGGCAGATGACGTATGAGGTCAGCTTTGCGCATGCGCCGCTCAGAGCCTAATTTAAATTTTTGGGTGAACTAACCCTTTAAAGCAATGTTTACTTAATTGAACAAACATTTAAACTTTTAAATGCATTATTTATTTTTAATTGTTATTAGCATTAATAGTTACTTTCATTTATTTGGTAACACTTTAGATTATTCACTATTATTAATATTCACTATTAACTAAGAGTTTTCCCTGAATAAACTCCTAATTAGCTGCTTATTAATAGTTAGTAAAGTAGTTGTTAAGTTTAGGTGTGGTGTAGGATTAAGGGGTCTAAAATATGGTCATGCAGAATAAGGAATTAATAAGTGATTTATAAGTAATAAACAACCAATATACTAGTAATGTGCATGCTAATAAGCAACTAGTTAATAGTGAGAATTGGTCCTTAAACTAAAGTGTTAACATTTATTTTAATTTTTTTTTTTTTTTCCAAATATAAATAAAATAGTAGTTAAGGGAGTGTATTACAACAGTTTTTGCTTTGTTATCAAAATTAGTACAGAGAACAGTGAAATTGTATTCGTATAAGTATGACTACTGAAATTTTGTTATTGTGACAACACAATTACAGGGTGTCATTTTTGCGCAACTGGCAGCAACAAGCAGAATAGCAAAAATAATGAATTTCTTTCCTAAACACTCCTTCAGCCTGCTACTGCTTCTCAAAGTGTAGCATCTCTTCCATATTTTACCTTGATGAGTGGCGTGATGGAGCGGGACCCTATCGCGTGGTCACAGTGCGAGCCCTCTGCCAGGCTGAGTATGACCTCGTCTCTGTGCATAGGTAGGTGGGGTTTGCCAGGCTCAGGAAGGGCAATAACTATGACGCTGGTGTTGTCTGCACGGAGCATCCGCTGACGCCATCGCATCAATGCATGGCACCCTAACCGACGAGCAACCGACATCCCGAAAGGTGCCTGTAGGGCGTAAAACACACACTTTTAGAAATGAACATAAATAGCAGTATATCATATGGTTAGGGACAAATTTGTTCATACCACAGCTTCATCATGGCTCTGGCACACAGTCACTGCCTCCTGTGGTGGCACCATGTTCCAAAGGCCGTCACTGCCAACAATGATGTAACGATGCCGTTTAGGGTCAAGGGTCACCACACTGGTGTCAGGATCAGGAGACACTACAAACTCTCCGCTGTAGAAGTCATAACTCCATAGATCACCTGGAAGGACATTATATTTCATATTATTTGTATACAGGAGCATTTGCCAATAAAAATACCCCGGAAATTCTAGGAAAACAGGAAAAATCTCAAAATAATGATATCAGCGGCCATCAGCTCAAAAAATGCAGAAATAACCTGATGATTCCACCTCCGCTTTAAGGTTAAAGAGTCAGTTCACCCAAAAATGAAAATTCTGTCATCGCTTTTATGTGTTGCCCAACCTGCACGACTTACTTTCTTCTGTGAAACACAAAAGAAGACTTAAAAATTGTTTCGGTCCATACTGTATAATGAAAGACTTTCACTAATTTTCATTAAACAGTTCATTTCCATCCTCAACGTATCTTCATTTGTGTTTCACAGAAGGGAGATCTTCATACAGGTTTGGCACAACATGAGGGGTAAATAATGACTGAACTTTCATTATTGGGTGAACTTTGGGTGATTTTTCATTCTTAAACGTCCATTCAGTGATCTGCAGCAACAAAGCAACCCGAAGATAGATGTGGCGAGATGATGGGACAGCACTTACAGGGTTAGCTCACCCAAAAAGAAAACATTTCTCATCATTTACTCAGCCTAAAGTTGTTCCAAACCTATAAGACTTTCTTTCACCTTTGAAACACAAATGATGATATTTTAACGAAACCTAACAGATTACCATTCCTCCATTAAAAGTAATTCACCCAAAACGATCATGCTTAAAAAAGTTCACATATACATCATAAAAATAAATCCTTATGAACCGAGTTGTTTAATCCAAGTCTTCTGAAGAGACATGATTGCTTTATATGATTCAATTTAGGCTTTTATTCACATTTAAACATTGATAAACGCACATAAAAAAATAAATAAAAAATATATATATATATGTGTGAGGTTTATTGTTGTGTGAAACGCAAACATGTTCAAGCTTCTACAAGAACCAATGAGGTTTGTTTTTGTGTGTCAAGCAAGTACAGCTCAGCTACTGTTTAGCATATTTGATGTTCTCTATGTATATGCGTTGTTTAATGTTTATATGTAAAAAATTGCTAAATTGCATCTGTTCTCTTCAGACAACCTAAATTAAACTGCTCAATTCATATGGATTACTTTTACAACGTTTCTATGAACTTCCTGAAGTGTGAAAGTTTGGGTGGAATGAACTTTCAATGGAGAGACAGTAATCTCTCAGGTTTCATTAAAAATATCTTTATTTGTGGTTCGAAGATGAACAAAGTCTTATGAGTTTGAATGGCATGTGGGTGATGACAGAACTAATGACAGAATTTTTATGTTTGGGTGAGCTATCCCTTTAACTGAATTTGATTTCAATGGATTTTACAGAGAACACAGTTTGCATAATCCTTCTAAACACTATTTAAAGCAATGGCTTTGACTTATTCATGAGAATTGAAGTCAGTACAAACCACATACAGGGCTCGCAAAATTTCTAAATCGCTGGTAGCCCTTCGGGCAGACATTCTTCAGATTTTGGTAGCCCAAAATGAATTTAAGTAGCCCGAATAATAGAAAAAAAAAAAGACATCGGCTGAACTTCACTGCGGACAAATCAGCATGATTAAAAACTTCAGTGATTGCTTTTTTTCTTCAAATAACAAGCCAAGAGAGTAGGGGTGCAACGGATCATATTGCATTATCATATCAGATTTTGAGTAACAGATCGGATCATTTTGCAGATGAGCAAAAAAAATATGGTTCTTTATTATTTAAATAACAGAATACTTCTTTGATACCACAGCAAAAACTAGTAGCATATAGGGATGTAACGATTCACTCAACTCGCGATGCGATACATGATACTGATTTCACAATCCAATTTTCTCACAATTTTTCTTTTTAACAGAATGAGATTTAAGACAAATTATAAATGAAAAGGTGTCCTTTTATTATTTCTCCAACAAAATGCTGCACATTTTTTGTGAAATTGAAATAAGTCAAATAATCGCAACCACTGAATTTTAATCACAATCCAAACAAAGATGCTAAATACATGTTATTTAGATTGCAATTAGATTGTATAATTTCGAAATTTGAAGCAAAAAACAGAATGGTCTGATTTTAGCTTTGTGAATGAGACGCAAATGTCACTCTCTGACAGCAGGTGGCGCTTATGGAACAGCAGGTATTTATAGGTTGCTGCCCCTTTAAGACCGAATGCACTGATCCAATATAATTATGCACTTGATATTTCTTTCACCACTGTTTACGTTCACTTAAGACATAACCGACTGTGTTTACGAGAATACTTGCCAAGACAGTTATTTTGACATAATTTTGTGTGTATGTGTTCATTCAGAAGCAAGGATATGCGAAAGAGGAATAAATTCTGTGTACGCTCATTGTCTGAAACGCGGCTCTCTGTGCGCAGCTCCGAATGCGCGTGAATGGTTTAAAACACTTGAATGTTTAAATCGGCAAGACTTAGAAACATGTGCAAACGATCAACTATGATCCGTTTTACCCCTACAAGCTAGTGCACAAAGCAAATCAAGGAATGACTTTTATATCACTGTTCAAGATAGCCCGTCGGGCAGGGTGGTGATACATTTTGGTTGCCCGAATGGAAAACACAATAGCCCCGGGACGTCGGGCTAGCGATTTTGTGAGCCCTGACATATTCCTCAATATTTAGTATATCTGAGTGTCGGTGTAGTTAAGTGTTTACCCAGAGCTCTGGCAACAGCGAGGAAGGGGATCTGATCGATCGGGGTGCTCCTTCTGACCGGGCCGTTGTGAGTTAGCCTAGGCCTCTTCCACACCACACGGTTCACACCAGATTTCTTCACCACACTACACTCACACAAACAAAGGGAAATTAATTGGCCTTCCAAAAATATGCTTGTGGTGGTTAGTTGAGGTTTTTTAAGACTGCATGTCATCCAAAAGATTGATTCTTATTATGACTTAAAAGTGTCAGCAAGCATTAAGATCTCACCTGCCACCCAGTCCCTCAATTCTCTGCTTCTCTTTCGGGAGTTCGGGTTTGTGGTCTTGTGTGACCTCCACAGCTTTGATGACTTTATCAGAGGGATCTTCCCTCACACCCAACACGACAGACGAGTCCCCGACATGAGCCACAAACATGCGGTCCCCTCTGATGACCACCACACTGGCTGTAGTGCCCGAAGTACTGGGGAGGCCAGTTAACGTCTTTGGCCATTCAGCTGAAGAAAAGGACACATTGTTAACCACGACTGCAGCAAGACACTGCTAAATAAAATGGAAGCCTGTTACCGGCAGAAAAAAAAAAAAATTCTTTAAGTCATAATAATGAGAAACTTTCTTGTAATAATGACTTAACATCTCATAATAATGAGAAATGTTCGTCTTTATCCTATCACTTTAAAGGGGTCATATGATGCGATTTCAATTTTTCCTTTCTCTTTGGAGTGTTACAAGCTCTTGGTGCAAATAGTAGTATTGTTGTTGCCGCCGCCGCCATGTTGTGGCGATGCTGTGTGTTTCGAAATATTCAGATGTGTGCAGCGCATTTTATGGAGGACTGTTACATGATCTTAGGAGAGTAGACTACAATGCCGGCTGTTCTGACTCACAGTCTGTAAGTATGTTTTCATATTTAAAGGATTTGCCACTGATGATTCAAACGCGAGTTTTGAACAGTGTAGAGTAGCGCTTGTTGTTTGTCGTTTCTCCGATCACAAATGCAGACATGGTTTTATGTTTACGCGGCGTAAAACGTCAGTATAAGTCATTATAAGTCATTATAATCCGTAATTATGTCCCCACTGGATGCACAAATGCCTCGTTTATAATGGATTATAATGTTTTTGTCTCGTCACTCCGACTTGATCGGTGTCGAGTCATAGATGTGTGGGCGGAGTCGGCGTGGGGGAAAACAATCCTTTCTTCCCTCATTGGAAAAGCATGGTGTTGACTCAGAATGGCCTACATAAAATAATTTCTGCCGCTCGACAGAGCAACATATGTAGAAAAACTGAGCTGTATTGGGTCGGACTGTCCGTACGGTATCTGTGACTGGACAAACGACCCAACGGAATGGCCAGAGGTGTCGTTTCCCGACATTTTTGTTACCTGATTGAGTCTATAGGCAAGAGACAGCTTACTACAAGCCTATACTAGTTGACGGCTTGTGAAAGTAAACATTTGTCATTTTGTTTTGCTTAATTTTAATAAAGGGATAAAGACTTAAGTAAAAGCCTGTCGTACTTTTTTGATATATTAAAAAGAATTTTAACATTGACAAAACAGGTAACATTAAGGTCCACTGAAGCGCCTTGAAATGCGCAGCGTTATTCTGTGGTGTGTGCTGTACGTATAGCCTTATCATTTTCACAAATACATGCTAGGGATGGGCGTATCGATCCGAAGTATCGATATATCGATACTGATGCAAGTATCGAAAGTATCGATACTCAAACAATAAATATCGATACTAAGGTGTGTTTTATTTACCAGTGATTTTGTTCATTTAACAAAAAAATAATGCATTTAATTGGACGAATAACCTATGTTAGTAAATAATTGTGTAGGATAGAACTATTTTCCTGCCCATCTGAACACATGCAAATGTTGCAAGACAGAATTACTCTTAGTAATTTAATAAATTTCATAATTTAAAAGTTTAGTTCAGAAGTATCGTATCGGTATCGATATCACCAATACTGCCTTGAAAAAAATATCGGTATCATATCGAAAACAACATAAATGGTATCGCCCATCCCTAATACATGCCGTAAAATAAAAAGATATAAAATAACATGAAAATATCCCTTACGAAAATTAACTGTGGTTACAACCAAAAAACATGGTTACTATAGTTAAACCATGGTAAAAACAACATGTTTTGCTACACTAACCAGTTTAACCATAATAAAAACGGCAAAAAACATGGTTAGCCTACTATACTTTTACTGTAATACCATTGCTAATTTCCTAAGGGATTGTGTATAATAATATGAATATCAGGGAGTGAGATTTATTTGATTGTGATGCGAAGGAGGGTTACTGTAAGCCCCATCAGAACTGGGTTGCGGTGCAGGGGGACGGGACTAATGACAGATCATTGCAAGGTAATCACAGCCCTCTACGAACACCTTGGCAATTGAATCGCCAATGGCTAGTAAATTTTTTTGTTTACTCGCCAGACTGGTATATACGGAGCCCCTAAAGGGACATGGTGGTGGGAAAAAAATTCGGGGTGGGAGGAAATTTTTTTTTGCATTCTCTCGAGAAACTTTGCATTCCC